ACGACTTATACTTTTGCTTTTATTAACAATTACTATTGGAACATACTTTCAAAATTTCATAATAATGTTATTAAATGAGAGACACTCAATCAATGTCACCATTATAATTAGGCCATGTTATTGTAGAAAGTTCGGTTTTTTTTTTAATTAGCTTTGCAAAGTTAAACCGACGTAGAAGCACGAGTTTGATGATTATTATCCGTACAATGCCTTAGATTTCGACAGATATTTCCAAAGCAGGATGATATGAGTCCTCTGGTAGAAAGAGGATTACTCTGAATAACGGAACACTTTGAAGAGGTATCAACGTATAACAAGATTTACCAAATTTATTCGAATCAAATTAATTTGTTCAGACCAATCGACGTTTTTCGAAAAACTATTAAAACATGACCGATTGCACGGCACGATATAGTCATCGAAGGTTTCACGAACACAGGTAATTGAAATCACCTAATACAATTATTGAATCTTTATTTGCATCGAGGTAGACTATTTAAAAAGAAGCATGTGCATGTATACAGATGTCCGAATGGGTGGATATAAGATAGGGTTAAAAATAAAGCAACTATACTATTAACGTATACTGATTATTAACGTATACTCTAATATTATACATTTAAATTCAAATGAGTCGGTCCCTCGAACGAGAATATTTTCAGATGGGATAGAGGAATGCACGGCAAAGAACACCTCCACGATTCTGTTCAGTCGATCACATCTAAAAATTTGAAATCGCTGTTTAAATCTTTATCAAAAATGTGAGGTTTTACCAATTTCTACCAATCAGTTTTTATATCGGTGGTTGTTTGGTAATTTAACAATGTTTTCCTCAGTTTGACTTCTAAGTTTAGGTTTAAATTCGCGTACAAAAGCCCCAGGTGGCCAGAATGAACCATTAAGATCTTTTGAATGTTTCAAGAGATACGTCTATTTTAAAGATGATATACTTTATCATAATTGAGTTAACGTGGACGAAATGTAAGATTTAATGTCCTCCACCATATCCTTGGCAAGTCTCGAAATAAATATAGACTTTTTAGGTGGAATAACTATCAAATTATTAACTGATGCTACTAAGTTAATAGGGGAGCCTTGAATTGTGAGACACTTATTACTATTAGATAGAGCTTTTGGGGAATTGAGCTCTTTGAAAGTTGACGGCTTATCACCTTGAGGCGGAGAAGAGAGATTTATTAGGTCATTGGGAGGAGACGTTCTTTTCTGAACAGAAGAACTAGTGTTACTTCATCGGAAGGACGTTTACGCTTAGAGCAGGTTTAGAGGATTCGTGAGAATCATTCAGGCAGTTAAAAGATTTGAACAATTTTCATAGGCCCAATTTTCAGTGGGTTACAAGATCACGACGATTTTAGCAGTTTGCGTGTCTCCCTATAAACTTTAATAGATCGATTTCAATAGATCTACACATTAAACAGGACCAACGCAATCCTCTAGTCGAGAATAGAATCTAAGATTCTACCAGTCAGTCCAGCAGATTTAATATGGGCAAGCCCATCACAAAGCCAGCATGAAACGTAGCGATCTGACTCGCCTTTAATGTTACAATTGGGAAGTTAAAGACATAATAAACCACAAGAATGAAGATCAAATAAAAGAGTAGGTAGACAAAATTTATAGATTAATAATAAAAGTGTGTTAATAAAATATTAATAATAATAAATTCAATTAAGAACAATTTTTATCAAAGTTTAAACCAAGACAATTTGAAAAGTAAGAAAGAGTAGTTTAGAAGCAATGTAACAAATAAAAGCTAAACGCAACACAGCGAATAAAGAAGTAAATAAGATAAACAAAGAGAGAAAATGAATAAAATAAACAAAATGAAACAAAAGGTGACTCGGCACCAAAATTGGAAAGTTTAAACTTTTAATACCGCACAAAACAGAACATTTAATACTTATCATGAAACTGGGAGTTTAATCACTAAAAATTTGTATTAACACGGTAATAAAAATCAATTAAACTTCAAGAATTTTTTAAAATAAAAACACAAATGTACACAGCTAAAAAATTACAGCTTAAGAGCTTGAAGTGTTGCCAAACATTGCCAATTGGTCTATAATTTGGTCTAAACTTCATATTCCTTCATATTCTTAATATAATGAAATTCGATCTTCTGGTTGACGCTTTCTGCATCAACTCAATATATGTATATTAATTTTAGCTTCTTAGGTCGAGTCTTTTTCACTCATTTTTATAATCCCGCAACATGTTGAACAGAGTATAATAGTTTTGTTCATCTAACAGTTGTTTGTATCACCTGAAACTAATCGAGTTAGAAATAGGGTTATACATATACAGGTTGGTACATAATTGTTAGTTTGTTCTCAGAAAGAAATACAAGTAGCACTACTAGCTCCAATTTTTTTTCTCAAGTTGGTACGTCTGTCTTGAGAACACATGCAAGTCATTATGTCAATTAATTTTTTGTTTACAAGCCATTTTAAGTTGTCGTGTCAGAGTATTTTTTTAATATGGAAGGAATTGAATATAGCGCAGTGATTAGATTCTTTTTTTGAAAGCTTTAAAAGCAAAGAAAATTTATGAACAATTGTTAAGTGTATAAGGCGTTCTCACCTTCAAATTTGAATTTAAACGTACGTTGTACTAGGCTTTAATATGATCCACGCGAACGACGACCAAAAACCGCAACTTCACCAGAAATCAGTGAGCAAGTTCATAATATTGTTAGCTAAGATCCAAGTTTGACCAAGCGTGAAATCGCTAATGCTATAGGCATCTCAGACGAACGAGTACTTCATATTTTGCAAGGAGAATTACATATTAGTTTTATAGGAGGCAAAAGGAATATTGTTGATTGATTATCTGCAGAAAGGTGAAACAATCAAGTCTGAATATTATTGAAGCCTTTTGGAACAGCTGGATGAAAATGCACCTGCTTACAACGACAACAACAATGACAAAATTCAACGACAAAATTAAAGTACGAATTGCTTGAGCATCCACCGTATTCACCAGATTTGACTCCCAGCGACTACTACCTCTTCAAAAACGTGAAACAATTCCTTCGTGGGAAGCGTTTTTCGTCGAATGAAGAAGCTATTACAGCCGTAGACGGGTATTTTGCAGAGCATCCGGACAGTCGTTATAGGGATGGCATAAAACTATTGGAGGATCGTTGGATTAAGTGTATGGAAGTTAAGGGAGATTATATTGGATAAAAAATATATTTTGTACCAAAAATAGTATTTTTTCATTTCGAGCTAAAATTTTCAACCAACCTGTATATAAAAGTGATCAATGCGTTCGTCCGTCTGGTATACGTATTCCTTGATCTCCAAGGGGAGTTGGTATTGATGATGGCCGTAATCGGACCACTGCCACGCCCACAATTTGTCATTAAACGAAAACCTATAAAGTGTCAGAACTAAGTACTAAATTAAGATAAAATAACTGTAATTTGATGTAAGGGATCGCAGTGGTGAGGGGAACTTGTTGATTTTTGAAAGAAGGCGTGACCCCGCCCTCAAAATGGTTAAATGTATATATCTTTCAAACCACTGAAGCTAACCAAACTTGCTAAGCAGGAGTTTTTTTTAGCATTTTTGTATACACTGGGAAATGGGTAAAGTCAGATATTAACCATGCCCACTCCCCATATTCGGTTATGTTGAAAATTACTAAATGTGCGATAACTCACTGAATAAAAGAGCCACAAGTATTAAATTTCACAGCCAGGTTGGCAGAGAAGGGCGTTATGGGTGCCGGAGTGTAAATTGAGCAATGGGCGTATCAATGTCCACTTTTAGGTGAAATCATATACTCACGAACTACTTAACCAATTTCAACCAAATATGGTGTGTGATATATGCTTCTCATATAACAAGTTTTTAAATTCCATCTGTTTCTTTCACTTTACAGTATACAAATCAAACATCAATGGAGTTGTTATGATTAAACTCTGCGAAAATATTGTCCTCAAGGTATTTAATCTAACGCCCAAAAGTTGTCAGAATCGGACTTTAACTTTTCAAGGACCCAGACTCCAAATATGTGGACACCAGTGTATATGGCTGATTTTTTACCGAACATATCAGTCAGTTAATGAGTTTTAGTATTGAAATTCGAGTAGAATATATTTGTAATAACAGCATGCCTTTGTGATTAAAATGGGTAAAATCGGGTTAATACTTCCCTTAGTCTCCAAATACCTAATATAAATATTTTCGAATTTCCGGTGGACTTTATACCGCATCTATCGGTCAATATGTAAGAAATCTTAATGAAATTCCCAAATAATCTCTTTCTAATAATAGTGTATCTTCTTGCCTGTGACTGTAAATAATGGATGCAATACTTCCCATTATAATTAAAATATATACGAAAATCTCGTATATCACTTTACTTTGCGAGGGTATAAAATGTTCAGTTACACTCTAATTTAGATCTTCATTACTTCTTTAATATAAAGCTTTGCCAGCACCTAAAGGAATTTCCCTGGCTTTGATTCCTGCATGTTGCAAGAGTATGAAAATTTCGATTATATATGAACAAAACTATTATATTCCGCAGCAACATGGTACGAGGGTATAAAAATGGATTATCATAGATGTGATATATCCTCCAGTGACTACCAAAACATTAATAATAAGAAAACAATTGCCGAAGGTGTTTCACTCTGTGTTTTTGGTCTGTCGACCGAATGCTTTATAAGTTTAATTGTAGAGATTAATTGGTGAAGAATAAAATGATAGATAGATTAAACAGAAGTTGAAAAAATATTATACTTGGAATTTTCAGACCAATCTAAATTGAACTTATAACAGCATATCTAATATGTGGTCTCAACTGGATCATATGATCCACTACCTGTAATCAGGACTTTGATCTTGATGACGAATGAAACGGATTTTTTCTAGTACGTTGAATGACACTGATCGCAAATACTGACTAGCTGCTTTTGCAACATTGAACCAAAATATATATGACTTTTAATTTATTTTTTTGACCTTGAACTTGAAATTAATCCTGATTCCTTGAAATGTTATGATTGGCACTTAAAGATTATCATTACGTGAATAAAACCGAAGATCTTATACATCACTCCCATTTCTACTTTTCATAATATCTTCTATTTAGTTAGTAGTTAGTAGTTTGGAAACGTAGCACCATCATGGCCAAACTGTAAATTGTGCGTGTTATCTGATAAAATTGAAAATTAAATTAAAAATGTTACGCTTTCATTAAAATTATTTGGTTAGACTCACTTTGAGTGCTGTGTTAACCGACAAAGGTTCAACTCCCGCGATGGTTATATTTCGTGGTGCCTGTGACTTCGTTAGCATTAAGAGAATCGTATTTTGATTATTCACATCTAAAGCATACCAGTTAATGTCGTAAATCCCAGTACAAAATTGATCGTTCTAAGGCAAAATAGAGCAATATACTAGTATTTAATACAGTAATACTTATTACTGTGCCCTTTTGAAACACTTATTTACACATATTTCAATACGTGTGCCAAGTATGCAGTACATATATAGCCAGAGAAAGCACACCAAAAGATAGGAATAAGCACCCGGCCAATCCTTCAGCATGATGATGAGCAGTGTACTCAAGATACCCATCGTGGTGCATACAATGTGTGCGGAGATGGTCCAAAAGAAAAGCAAATTGCACTTATCAT